TTTCACCCCGTTAATCCCTTCCATATTGAAGTGCTCAAAAAATCCATAGGAGCGTTCCTACCAGCTTTGATCCAGAGATCTGGTGTAGACAATCTATCTCGCAAAACTAGCTGCGACTAGCTGCTACCAGTGCATCAGAGTCCCCCAGGTGCCACCGCCAGGACCAGAGCCACGCATGGAACATGCGCGTTGCCGATCGCAAACGGTAGGGGCACCAGCCGACATTCCACCGTTGCGACGGGAGTGACGCACCTGCCGGAGATGCCGGACGCGAGTGAGATGGGAGTCTTTCCTTTGTTGACTTCTTGTTTGCCAGAATAGCGCCATCAAAAGAGGTCTATGAAGACAACTGGAAGGCAAAACACAAGACAGACAGGCGCCGCCAGAAGAGCACAGGAGGTGCGATTGTAGTCAGTCCTGTGGTGATTGTCTCCTTGATCAGGTGATGGTGCTGACATGTGCTGACCTTTACAGTTCACCAAATCAAGCTGTGGCCTTGTTTTGCGGGGACTGGATATGTTTTGCATTCAAGAGGAGATGATGGACTGCGTGGTAGCATCTTCTGGCAATGTTCAGCCTTCACTCTTGGCCTGGGTAGTGCATGCAGAGCAGGTCGAGGCCCCATCGCGATTCGGTGTGTCTTGACCGCTCCTTAGCATCCTCAGGCATTTCACTCAAGATCTATGACCGGTCTCTGGCCCGAGGGTCCAAGATCGAACGTCCTCCGGATTCATTTGATGGGAGATGCGATGACCATTTCGTGACCATTTTTCAGATGAACCACTCTTCAGCAACCGAGAGACCCACGACTGGTCGGGCCAGCATTTTCAACATTTTCCGCCCACGGCGCACGGACGGTACTTTGAAATCTGTCCGCTTTTAGATCGAAAGATTTTCAAGCAGGACCTCAGCCAGGCAGTATGACAAGCTTATTGTTTAGAAAAGAATTGTAATCGAGTCATAGTCATCCAAATCATAGGTGCTTTCTTGTTCCTCTCAATTTAGCCAAGTATTGCGGCTCAGCCGTCAGACTAGCGACTAGCCTGGAGCACTGGCTGGGGTGGATTTGCCTCGAACCTCAGCAAAAAAAACACCAAAGTGTTCAACTTGTGGGGTTATCACCCTGGCATCCGTGTTGCATTTGGGAAGATATCAGACCCTCTCGCTGCATATGTTGTACGCTACCAACAAAGAATTCGGATGTTTTTTGAGTTTCCCAAGGGGTGATTCGATTGAATATGGGGGCTCAACTGAGAGGATCATGGAATCAATCATCCCCGGGACAATTGAACTCTAAGACTTTTCTGCAAGAAACTCGAGTCCGGTGCTTTTGGTTGAACATGCGAAGAACCCTCATACAAAAAGAAGTTCTTCTTCCATGTCAGAATGATTTTTGTTCATGCCTAGTTCCCCAAGAACCGACGCAAGTCAATTCCTACAGAGATGGAGCATGCTTACAAAAATTATTAAACAACATGTATGTGTATTACATTGGAGGTCGGTGTTGTGTTGTGTTATTAATAATGAATGTGTGTATCTGTGTATAGTGTTACCTGGCATGATTGTTCACACGCTTGCAATAATCTATGTTTTGGATATCAGTTTTACTCGTCGCACTGTTCGTGACTGGAGCCACAAACGCACGTTTGCATCGGGCTGAAACTTAAGGAAGATGGGTGCCTATGCTGTTTTTTGCTGAGTGATCACGGCAAATCCAATCGCATGCAGATTGTCACAAGACTTCTGGGAGAAAAGTCCATTGAATCCATCTGAGATGGGGAAGTCCAAGACGACTCACCCTCATCCCTTTCAGGTGTTGGATTTGATCCAGTCGACCCGACCGGGGATTTCTGTGTCGCTTCAGAAGATCCAGTTCGAGCCGGGGATGTTTGTGTCCGGTGAATCCGGCGCCAACGGGTGAGTGGGACGCATCAATGAATATAACCAGTGATTTGTCGACCACCTCAACCAGCTCTGGTCACTGGTCGCACACCCGCAAAACTGCTGTGATCTTTGCGTTTTGGCGTAAGAATGACCCCATACAGGTTACAGGACCTCCATGTTTCTCTTCAGCCGACCTATAATTACATCGGTGTACAGATGGGACAGCTAGCATTTGGGTCTTTAGATCTCAGCAGCGTCTCTCTCTAATCGTCACGAAAGGATGCGGATGGCGGGATCTCTAATCGTCTCTCTCCAAGCTCCTCGCCCCTCGCTTTGAGCCACCAACCCGGGCCGTACTTCGTCCTCTCGACGCCTGGAGGTTACGCGGTCTTTGAGGGCCACCACACCGCATTGGGCTTGGCCACGGTGCGTCTTCCCAGCGAGGACGAGGAGGCCCGAAGGGCTTCGGTTGGTCTTGTTTTGTCACGAAACTGGCGACACTGGAGGGTGACATCAAGCAGGACTGGTGAGTCAAGCAATCTCAGTCCCTTTCAGAATCAAGGACACAGGTTTGGTGGTTCGGGCCCAAGTGACCCTGCGAGTCATGCAGGGTGGAGCCTCCCAAACCTTCCGGAGGATTCAATTTGATTGTTTCATATTGTTTCTATAGTGAGAGAAACAGGTCGATCAGATCAGTCCGTCACGAGCTGGCGTTCGGATGAAGCAGATTTGAAGCAAGCCTCAAGGGCTATCGGTTGGTGTTTCGTTTGGTAAAACCGGCGTGCAACCCTTGAGTCGGTTGCTTGACCTTCAGTCGGTCGTTTCTCCGCAAGGGACCGGTCGGCCCCGAGACCAGCCGAACTCCAAACAATTCGTTTGCGGTTTTGGAATAGTTTTGGTCATGGTTTCTTCGTTGCACCCGTGAGCCAGTGTAAGTTGAAGTGAAAGTGGTTTTGACATCATTTTGACAGACTGGTTATTCAACTAGACTGCGAGATCATGAGAGACCCTGTTTGTTGTTGATGGACAAGAAAAGCATCCGATTCCACTGGGTGACATGATTCCAATGCAAATTTAAGTCTATGTGATGAAAGTGGCAAAAGCTCTCACGGAGACTATATCGATCTACAGAACTTCTTGGGCAGAAATTTCTGCCTACGATGTAACGGCAC